TGTCCCGATTTTTGTCCACAGAAATCTGGTCACCGTATGCATACAAGATTTGCAAAAAAATCTTAAAATTTAACGGACATCTTCAATCTCAGTAATATTCTTATTACTTCGAAATTGTGCTTTAACCGAGTTTAAATAAATTGCTCTTTTGTGAGTAAATAATTCATGAATGAAACATAATTTTCCAAAATAACCCAACAACAAAGGCATCCCTCTTTAAGTATTCACCGCCTGCACTCACGCACCTCAAGCGCGTTAGGAAATCTTTTCCGCGAAATAGCACAAAGAATTGACCTATACAACAAGAACAAAAATAGCGAACGCTAATCTTTCATTTATTCATAATGCTACTTACATACATACATATATTATATTAAGAAATTGCGAGCGACGCCCGGCATTGTTGAATACTTTTACTTGTAAATTAAATAATCCAGATACAGAATAATGGTTAGTAAAGATGTACGTATGCGTGTATTTTATTTATCACACTATGCGTGAAATTCTTACATACATACATTCAGGTTACCATGCATATGTATGTATATGTGTATGTAAATATGTACATATGCCGACGAGTTTAAACCACAGCATGTCACTCTAAGTTCCATGTCACTTGCAACCCGCTGATGATGAAATCACTTTAATCATTTTAAGCAAAACTTACTTTCATATACATAGGTTTATACGTACATGGGTATGTAGTATGTAAGAATGTGCACATCTATATACATAATTGACCGTAGATTTGTATGGGTATGCAAACGTACGAGGGTTACTACTAACATTTCGAAATAAAATTTATATCTAGCAAATTTGACAGCAGTTAAGTGTCTTGAATAGCTTCATGATGAGGTATTATAATATGACTAACTAGAGGTTTAGTTAAAATGTACCTACCCCTCTTAGCGGCTGCATAGCAGAAAGTAGTCCAGTACGAAAAAGTTAAGTAAATACAACATCTATGAGTGATTTAAAATTTTACGAAATTTGAAGTTTACCATATCGCACTAACTAGCCGACTAGGTAGAGCATAGGCGCGCCAACCAGGAGGGTGCCTGTTCCAAGTCCCTAGCGGGCAGAAAATATTTGTCTATTCAAAATTTAGTAAAATTTTTTTTTGTTTGTTTTCTATTAATTACTAGTTACTTATGTTTATTTGAAATTTGAAAAACACAAGTTACATCAAATAAGGGTTCAACGTATCTATGTAAATATTATGATAAAATTCTGATAATTATACCCGAGCGCACTTGTGCACAGGGTAGTATAACTTTGTTCGCATAACGGTTGTTTGTAACAGCCACTGTAATCACTGAATTTTTTAATTACGCTAAACTGCTGAAAACCTAATTGTTTGCTATCTACATGTATGTACATACATGTAATCGCATTTCTTGAAAATTTGAAAGCTCTTAGGGAATTATAGAATATCTAGTACATGGCCCACTTCAACCGCAATCTCAGTTTTCTTAACAAGATGCGGTGACCTTAGTCATGGAAACATGGTTTTTGGTTTAAATTGACGGTGCTTGGGTAGGTAGTAATCCAACGAAAATTCGTTGACATAAATAAAATTTCGAATGGTTACCCTAGTACGGATGTCTCCATTAAGAGAAAAAAATTCTGCCATTTAAATGGCTGAAACTTACTCATACAAGGATTTAGTCAATTGTAGTTATTTATTATTCTAAATGTGTGGCGTGAGCAACATGCGAAAAGTGATAAGAAATTTGTAATTTCTAAAACAAAAAACAAAAAAACAAGGCGTGTGACATAAATGAGAATATTCATACTAATTCCGCTTATATAAGCAACGCACAGTTGGTGATTTATTTGTGACATTGTTGTGCTTCCAAATATGTGATACATTTTTGCAAAGTTCAAAAATTACATCAAAGCTCAAAATTGATTTACAGAATCATCTTTATCATTAGTTGTATTTTCCCCCGAAATCCTTCACTTGTCTCCTCCTCCTTGTCCTCTCCTTTCGCTAATATGAAAAAATTTCGGGTGAATTTTTTTTCGGGCGAAACTCAGAAAATACCAGCTAACTAAGGTAGTAAGCCTAATTGGGTAAATTAAAGGTGAGTACTTAAGTACTAAAAAACCATTTGTCGTTCGGAAGAGACGAATCACAATTTGTTTGAAAAACACCAAGACGCATTGCACAAATTGGAAGAAATTTTGATCAAACTCTAAGTGCCGTTTTCACAATGAGGCGTTGACTCGAATTCGGCAGTTAACCTTTAATTTTTGATCTGAAAACCTATTGTTGACTGCCGAATGAGAGTTAACTCGTCACTATAAAAAAGGCTCTAAACAATTGTGATTTTTTTTTTTTTGTCAGAAAACAATTAGTCTGTTCGAATAGATC